ATTTTTGAGGGAGTTCCACCATATGCACGTGTCAAGAGTATAATCACCTCACTAATTCCTTCTGATAATCAGTTTATTTCTGATCAATTGATTTTTAAAATAATTAAGTGGAGTATAGAAATCTTAAAACATGCTATTAGCTAAAAAAAAAAACCCACCCAGGGTAGTTATGCTTACACTATAAAAGATATAGAAATATTTTGCATTCCAAGTTAAAAACCCTTTTGCCTGTGAATAATCTTTGTCTAAAACAATTAAAGTGGCACTTTTTTAAGCTTCCTCTGCTTTAAATTTTGCATTAAAATCTTCGTTAAGGCACCTCTTGCTGTCTGATTGTTGGGCTAACAAAAATAATCAACACATTAATTGTTTAAGAAAGTAGTCATACGTTGCAACCCTTCTACATTAAAACTACACACTACTTCAAAAATCAGAAATGTTTTTTTTTTAAACATGGGTTTATTAACTTGACATTTCTAGTTGACACTTGGTTTATTTTAAAGTGGTATGCAGAAATGTTTTTCTTTTTTTTGTAATGAATGCTTATTTCTTCTGTACTTCTTTTTCTCTAATGCAGAACTTCTCGAAGAACATCTTTGCCATTCTTCAGTCGGTGAAAGCCAGAGAAGAAGGTCGAGCGCCAGAGCAGAGACCAGCACAGAACGCCACCCAAGTGGTAATTTCTTTGTTTAAAACTGGAAAGGTTTTAGGTTTTTGAAGTACCACTAGGATTTGTCAGGATGAATGGAGATTATGTTTCATAACCATTGATAAAGTGAAACCCTTATTATGCAGGACCCGTCTTTAAGGAACAAGCAGCCTGTCCCAGCAGCCTACAACAGATACGATCAGGAGCGCTTCAAAGGAAAAGAAGGTGACTCCGCCTTATGGTTTCCTTTGCATGTATTACAGAATCTCTTTCCCCTTCTTTATGAGTCACATCACCACACTGACGTTGCATTATAAGCAAGTAAATGCTTTATCTGATGCTGCATGGCTCCATAAAAGCCAAAAAAAAGTGAACTTTCCAGCAGCCAGGAAACTGACAAAGCTGTAAAATGAGTATAAATTATTTTTATTAGCTTTAGTTGTGTTTCTTAAAGGAATATAGATCTTTAAATGTTGTATTATTAGCCTGCATTGTATCTCTGTTACCTGCAGCTCATTGGCCTTTCTTATCTTATAGAAACGGAGGGTTTCAAAATCGATACCATGGGCACTTACCACGGCATGACGCTGAAGTCAGTGACGGTAAGAAGAGCTTCATTGAAGCCACATTGTAATTACTTCTAGCCTCAGAACCACAACCGTACATTAATCAACATGTTTCTGCTGTGAATGGAAAAGATACAAAATAAGAAAACTAAATTTATCTGCTTATCACTGCAGAGTAAAGCCCAAAAAACTGAGCTCTGTCTGAGAATGTCTCAATATCTTGGACATCGTATTGCTGAGCAGCGCCAGCTTTGCTCCAAGAAGCAGCGAAGCCGTTTACAGCAGCGTTATCACTGTACACTGAAAGCAAAATCTAGCCACATATATCTTGTTACGACCATAACAGTCCTGATCAGAGTTTGATAAGTTCATCCTGAAAATCATGTGTATTCTTTTTGGATCGGGTTCTTAAAGGGATAGGGAAAACATATTTAAATGTCAAATCATTCTGGCTTAAACATGTATATAAATGTGTTCTTTGCGAGGCAAAGGCTCAAACATGTATGGCTGGAAGCCTTCTACACCAAACCAAGCTTCTGCCGCCCTGGCGTCCTCTTCCACAACATCTTCTTCCCGCTTTCTTCCTCTAAATGAAAAATGTATGACGGAGGAGACTCATCCACGACCTCCGACACTAAACTCTCCTCCTCTTGCATGTTTCCTCTGTCCATAGCGTTCCTTGACAGCGTCGTTTCTAAGTCACCAATTTAGCGCTACTTGGTCCCAATGGAATTTCCCATTGGGAACCTACTAGCACTAAGTTGCTAACTAGTTAGCAAGATGCTGCCACGACACCGCCCGCAACCAAAAAAAATGCTTCCTGCAGCCACAACAGTCCAGCCCCCTTGATAATCGACCAATCACATTCACTTTTTCACTCGTGTAAAGTCAGGCACCACAATTCAGAAATGCCACCTTTGGAACAGTTGCTTCCCTTTGACTTTAAAGCCTTAACTGATCTAATAGCTTAAGGGGGTGCTGATTGTAATCCAGCATTATCTCTGGAGAGAGACCAAACAAAAACTTTTACCTTCAGGCCAAAACTGGTCTCCCCCCATAAACGTGTGATCCAGAATATTCATGATTGTAATGTTTTTATCAGAAAAGTTCAGTGTCTTGTTCTGCTCTTAGATGTGTACTTAATCACTGTTTTACCACTAGCTCAGCTCTCTGCAACATTGAAAATCCAATTATCCATTTTACCCACCTAAATTATCAAATATTACAAAAAAGTTTTATATAAAACACAATTTTATTAATTAAATAACAACCAACAGTTTATTTTTAGTTTTAGTTTATGCAATAAGGAAAAACATTAGCATAACAGGGAAGCGTTGTGTTTCTTCTATAGGATATTATTTGTGGTAACAAACAGGATAATAACAAGAAAAATAGATCACATCACATATTTCTGGTTCTTTTAATGTCATTCTGTTGTAAAAACGTAGTTTAGATATAAGAGCCTCTGTAGACGGACTGTAAACATCTTATATGCCATCTTTAACACTGGCAGGTTCTTTCAGCTTCTTTAACGGCTTGAATTTAGTTGCACGTGTAATTCAGGTTGACTCCCAAAACAAATGATTGCATTAAAAGCTAGTTTTTGGAAGTCATTTTGTTCATAAGTCATTAAAACTAAAAGGAGGAAAAAAAATCGATCTGATTTCGTAAGAGTAAATTAGATTTATGTTTTTAAGTCATATCTTGCAGACCTAGGCTGAACTATAGCGTTTATTCTGAGCACTTTAGAACTGGGAAAGTATTTCCAACTGATGCCTCTTTCAAGCACGCAAATTACTCCCAGTAAATCAACTGGTGAGATTTTTACACTGTATTAGGAAACAGTGGAATGGATGTCCTTAATATCTCCTGCAGGGGGCAGTAATGGGACCTTATGGACAAAGGACATTGTTTTGAGGACCAGAATGTTCACGTTTTGGATAAAAAAGATAGGCGGTTTGAGAGTGGCATGAAGGAAGCCATCTTTGTTAAGAAAGAAAAACAATCTTAAACAGATGGGGGTCGACTCAGATTTTAGCTTTAAAAAATTGAGTTGATTCCTTCCCGGTATCACCGCAACCTCCACCTCCTTACAGGGGAACAGAAGACCTCGCCTGTTCGGCCAGGCCAACAATTTCCTCTAACGACCCCCTCTTCAGAGACATAGACAGGTATGGGGTATTACAGGCTAACAAAGAAGACGAACGATCCCCATTCCAAAGAGGCAGACCCAATTATCTGTTTCAATTTGTATGTTTCTAAGCCAAAACAAGGCTTTGTTTTTGGTCCACTCTATAAAGCCTTGAACGCTATTTCTGACATTTTAATTGAAAAGCTTCGAGGATAGGAATCAAAATGTCTTCAAACTTGGGCACAAAGTCCAGTGGATTTTGTTGGAATAATATGAGGGAGATAACTTTAACTGATCAAGCTGGAGTCTGAAGAAGGCAGTAAGTTATTGGGGATCTAGCATGATGGCTAATTGCCAGGCAACGGGTTCACTGCTGGTGTCAGCCTCAGTAAGTGATTGCAACTAGTGTGGTCGCTAAAAAGTGGTAGAGGCCGGCTTGTCATATATAGCCAGAGTCTTGACAGCTCATCATTAAATGTGCCTACTTGCTTGATAAAATGTTGCTGAGTTTAAAAACATGTAGCTGTATCCGGGACTGTTGCAACGTAAACATGCAAATCCACGCCCCACCTGGTAATGTAACCGCTTTATTCACACTAGAGCGGTCCCAGTAGATGAGGGGGCTTACTGGGTAAGTGTTAAAGGGGCTTTATAAGTTTGCTGACAAGTTCTCCTTTTATAAAACTGAGATAGATTTCTGCTGGTTTTGTCATTTTATATTTTTCGTCATCTTTTACTTTCGTAAAGTTGGCCCAAATTATAGACGAGATGATGAGTGCTAGAGCTGGAGCAGAAACTGCTGGTTCTGGATTAGTTCCAGTCTCATAAAGTAGCTGCCTGCTAACCAGTTAATCCAAGGCTGCTCTGTTGGAAATGTTCATTTCACACTGTTCAACAAAGACATTTATATTTTACAGACACATTTATCCTCAGTCCAATTCAACAACACAGAACTAAGTTCAACGGTTCTGCGTTGCCTCAGTCCGGTAGAAATAGTTTAACATTAGTTGAAAATTGACATTTTAGCAGCATCGTATCTCATGATTAACTGGATTGTCTCAAGATTGTCCAAAGATATGTGGTATTTTTACTGAAGTCCGCTGGTTTTGTCAGTGTTTCAGTAACTGCTTGTCTCGGAGTCTGGAGTGCGCTCTGCCCGCTCTGTCTTTGAACGTGTTGATGCAGGCGTTGTGTTTGTTGCTCTGGAGGTGATGCCAGTACTTGAGCAATTCGTTCGGATGGAATCCGTGCGACGTTATCAGGTGGCTGTACTTGCAGCTGGAGTACGACACCCGCCAGTGGTTGAACAGGAAGCCGTTGGGAGGGGGCGTGGGCTCGATTTGGAGCTCGGCCAGGCAGATTCCCACGTACACGTCCTCCAGGTGCAGGCGGCGAATCCTCAGGGAGGTGCGGTAGATCTTCCCGGCCAGGTCTCCGGAAAAGACGTACCCGGTCCCGGAGCAGAAGGTGGGATACTTGTCCCCTGGGTAGAGCTCGGGGGGCATGTACCACTTGCTGTTCTCATTCCGGTTGGGGGCAAAGCCTCTCATGTTGTTACCTGTGAAGTAGTTCTTCCTGGGCTTCTGGTCTGGTCTGAGCAGCTTGTAAATGAGGTACTCTGTGTTGACAAACATGTCGCTGTCGGTTTTCATGACGTAGCTCGCCTCTGGGCAGTGCATCGCCACCCAGTTCATTCCCATCAGGGTCTTTATGGTCAGGTTCTGATAAGAATCCAGGAAGTCTTGCTGGATGATGTCATGATGCCTCCGGCTCTCTGCCTCCACCATCCTCTGCTGTAGGAGTCCCAGCTCTCCCTCTTTTTTCCCCAGCAGAAACAGTCTGATGAACCCCACAGAGGGGAAAACGCTCTCGTTCCCCCAAGTTTGCCGGATTGCGTTCCTTGCTTCCACCTGACGAGCTTCGGTGGAGATCAACAGCACTAGAAAAGGGGGTAGTCGGTTCTCTGTGCATTTCTGCGGCTTGTTGATGATGTAAGGGAAAGGTCCGTGGGTCAGGGAAGCATTAAGAACTCCCCCATGGCTCTGGCTGGTGTCGGCGGTCAGCTTCCCTTCGATGCTTATGTTGCCTCGATGAAAAGAAACGCCATTCCTCTCCGATGAGCTGATGTTGGCGTCTGCCTTAAAAGTAGTCTGAGGGACAATCACAAACCTCCAGGCTCTATGAGCGGCGCTGGCGTTCCATTTGTTGCTGGCGAGGTGAGGCACAGTACCGCCGTACACCACAGGGTAGCCTCTCCACCACGGGATGCCGGATCGGTGGACCAGGAACACGAGGAAGCCCAGCAGTGAGAGGAGATACAGAAGTTTGGCTGTGTGCGTGCAGCAGTGGCGCCGTCTCCACTGCATGGTTCTGCTTTTTCACACAGATGAGCTCCGATTGCTGAAGTGAAGTTTGTGACGGGTTCCCTCAGGGCCATTCACCTTGCATTATTTCACCGAGGCATGTGCTGTTGCCAAGAGAAAACCTAGGAGACAAGACAGAGTTAAGTCGTTACAGATAAACGGTGTCTGAACCGGATTTAAAACAAGGGATCTCAATAGATGGATAAAGGTCTTTAATATCAGCTGCTTTAAAGCTTTATGTAACATGTTTGGAGTAGGGATGCAAGTTTTCAATTAATTAGTCTGAAGTTAAGTCATCCTTTTGATTGACTGATTAATTGATAAGTTGCCTTTTCTTTTTTTTTTTTAAAGCCAACATGAAGCTACAAGGAACTATAGTGCAATTTATTTATGTCTGAGAAAAAAGGTGTTAAAATTTTATCTTTTTTTTCCTCCTCCCTACCATCAATCAATTTTATTTATTTGACGTTTTTCCTCCCATAAATAAACTAACAAAAAGGTCCTGGAAAATTAAAGTTTTAAGTAAATTATTCTAGGTCTGAGTAAATTAGCTTAACATTGCCAAAAAAATAACTTCTGCCTAAATAAAACACAAACAAAAACATTCACATACAAAACTTCTTACTTTTCTTGTGAGTAAAGAATTAAGCATGATAAACCGCAAAAACAAAAACATGGTTTCATGTTTGGTGTTCAAACAGCAAGCAGCAGAGATGTAATAGAAGTTTAGATCTTTTGATTAAAAAAACAAAACGGTAAAGGTAGGACAGATTTAATTTGCTTTGCATGGTTTTGGTGTTTTTAGAGGAATGTTTTTGAGTGGTCAGCTAAAAATGATCAAAGTTTTTCTACTGAGTTTCACTTCTGTCGATTCAGTTTCTTTTTGCCTATTTATTAGAAATGCAGCATTCGGTTCTGGTACGTGTTTTGTTGAAACCAGGCTCATCAAAACACAGGCTGGCCATAAATATGATGCGAGCTGTGGTCAGTTAATATTAGAATAAAATAGTTTTTCAGAGTCTCAGAAGATCTGGACATATAAGTGTGAGTCAGTCTCAGAGTTGAAAGGAGGCACTCAGACTTAATTCAATTTAATTCATTTCATAAATACTTTATTTTTCCCAAAGGGAAAAGAAATGTTTCAGTAACTCATATTTTTGTTTTGTTTTTCTCAAAGTTGGTATAAATGTTATCAGCTTTAGGCAAGAAGGATCTTTTGTATCGGTCTATCTTGCACCAGATCTGGAGAAGCTTTTGACTAAAGACACTTTGTTGATGTTTAGAAATCTTCTGAACAGAATGCTCTCTTGTCTATGATCATGATTAGAAGGGATCATGATTATATTATTCCTCTGTTTTAGAATAGTGTAAGATTGATAGAAGACTAGAGGAAGAAGATATGAAGACTGATAGAAAGAAGATGGAATGAGAGCGGAGGAAAATGGGAGCACTGATGGACAGAACTGAACAGAAGATAGAACAATCTTACAAGAGTAAAGCCGAGAGCAGGTAGAAGTCAGAAGAAGATCACAGTAACAAGCTGGACACATCTGGATTAATCAGATTGTCCAGTAATAAAAGACAGGAAACAAAAGAGCTGCTGAAGTTCAGGAAGTAGTGGAGCTGTGCATAGATCCCATTAGTGGGAGAAATTAATCGGCTTTAATATGGCAGTAATAAACATATATCATCCTTTACCTTCAGACTTGTAGGGTGCTTTTATCTGTAGTGTACTTTTAACCGTAGTGCACATCTGTTACGTTTCCCAGGTGCTTCCATCTTGGGCGACATTTTAAAACAATAAAACTTGCATATGGATTTTTTTAAATGGTTTTTCATAAAAATCAGACAAAAACAATATAATTTCCATCGGCACAATATGGTTATTATTCCATGTACTAATTAATTCATTTCTCTAAAATATGCCCTTTTAATGTTGGAAATCGTGTCATTCCGGGTTTCTAATCAACTCTGACATTGAAATCCAATATGGCGGCCTTGGATAAATGAAATTGAGCTGCAGTAAATTAATGTTAACGTGTCTTTGCCCTGATCTGTATCTCCTCACATACTCTTTTAACTCTAGCATACCCTCTGATCTGCCATTATTTTTCTTCATATATTGCAAATACAAGTCAGGCTTTTCTTATGAATGAACAGTGGCACCCTCTGGTGGACAGAAATAATAGCAAAAGAAATTCCCTTTAAGCAGAAATGATCATTTGTATAAAATAGGCTTTAATCATTTAAACCATAAATTCTCAATCGTAAGTCAATCATTTGTTTAGATTAATATTTTTTTTTTTAGGTATATTAAGTGTTTGGTCCAAACTGATTATTTGTCAAAATTGGCTCTGGGGAAAAAAACAAACAGGAAAACATACAAGTTACCCGTCGCTACTGAAATAGCTACTAAAACAGTGACTGTTAGAGAACCTAGATGTTTTGAAAAGATGTGAGCATGCATTTATTTTAATATATTTTCTTTATATTACTATATTATAAAAACAAAAAGATAATCCCTTCAGTTTTTACTATCACTATGAGGAGAACTGTTTGAGGATTTTGTTGTGTTGTTAAGCATATGAAGGGCTAATCCCAGGGGATCATGATCCATTGTTGGGGTGGGGGGGCTGCTCTTTAAGCATGATCTATTTTGAATGGGCTAAATATGGAAGCTACATTGTGTCAGGCAAGAGCCTCTCAGCTGCTCAGCTGAAGTTCAGATCCTAGCATCAACCTTTAGGAGAGTAAAACCTTCCTGAACTTGTTTTCATTAACCCTGGTTGGTCAAATACGGATGCAAAGGAAGTAAATGTGTGATTTCGTTGAGCCGTGCTTAGAGGCTTCTCTCCGCAGGTTTATATTTTAATGGACTAGAGCAGGCCTGGGTATCCGTTCAGATTTTAGGATTAAGATACTACAAGATTTAAACTCAATTCTTCCTTGTTCAACGTTAATTTTGGCTGCTGGTTTAAAAACACATTTGAGTTTGACTATGTTTTTATTTTGCATATTAATCTAGTAATATATTAAAACTCATCAGCGTATAAAGTAATGACAGTTAATGGGGGCTGTAATGTCCAAACGATCATTCTGAATGTTGGGGTAGATTTGGAAATTACTTTTCTTTCATGAATCAGATTGGAAGTGATTAGGGCTGATCAATCCGATTAATCAACTATTGAAATAATCATCCATTATTCTGGTAATCGAGTCATTACTCAGACTTAAATAAGATTTAAAACAGGCTATTACCTGGAAAAAATGACCACCTTCAGCATTATTTAGACAAAACTAGAAAAATATTTTAAAAATTGTTTAAAGAAATATACGTGTTTGTATTTGTTTATGGTTTTTGCCATTTATTATTCATTTAAGAACGAACTATAAAGTTTTTTCTCTTTAAAGTCCAAAGATTTATTTGAAATGTGAATTTACTCAAAGTACCCATTCCTAGATTATAGAAAATAGATGTATTTAATTGTTAATAAAATAGTTAATAGGTGCAGCCTTAGAATGGATTCAGAACTGGAAAGTTGTTTTTCAACACAACCCTATATTTTTAAAATTCAGTGGTGGGGCGTCAAACATTTGATGGACTTTTCTTTTTGCCACTAAAGCATCATTTCCTATAAATGCTGTATTTTTGCTGCTGCTTATAAAAGCTAATGTCCACTCTCAGCTTTTAGACTTAGACAACTTTTATTTTCCTTTTGAATACACAGAGTTTATACAAAACGAAATTTTTTTCATTCAGCTCTCATGACATTTCCTTTTCATAAAGTGCAGCAGTTGTTTGATCTATTGTTCTGCAAACTGTTATATAACATACTAGCTTATGACTTATTTAGATACCTTTTTTTCTCTGTTGAAAATTTGGAGCAGTTATTGTAGCTCTGCTAGTGCGGCAAGTAGTCATCCCATTATGAGTCACCCTTACTCATCTGCTCCGACACCAAACAAAGCTGTTGATCAGCCTGTGAACACATCTCCCTCAGCACTGATCTTAGATTTAAATCCAAATCTTCACCCAGAAGCACTCAGTTCCCATTGGTGATCATTAAGGGTGTGCTGAGAAATGAAATGCTGACTTTTATAGGTTTCCAGGTTGGTCTGACTTGAATCGAGAAGAAAATTTAAAATCTGGCCTTTTTCTTTTCGCTTTTTTGTTTATATCTGGTAAATGCATCATAGCAAAGCAGTACATGTCAATTCTACGTAATGTTGAAGTTATAAGGGTCAGAAATCCACACAGAAAATGTAGCATTTTGAAACAAAGCAGTTGTGAATTAGGGTTGATAAAAGAATTAAAATTAAGAGCTGATATTTTCCAGAACTTCCTTCAGCTGCAGCGCTGCAATAACAGCCCCTCCGCTCCCTGCAGCTTCACCAGACTAAGATGATGGAAGTTTAAAGAATGTAAACATGTTGAGTAAAGCAACACAAATAATAATGAAAAGCAAAGAAGAAAAAAAAGCCACTATCTTTATGGACGAGAGGAAGGGTAAAAGGTGTTGATCTGAGGTGATTTCCCTCAGATCAACACCTTGGATGGACAACAAGAAGAAAGTGCTGGTCGATGCTACATGCTAAATATCGTTAGCATAACCTATTTTAAACCTGGGATTGTTATCCACCAAATGTCAGTATATATATATATATAGCACAAAGAAAGATGGATAAACTAGAGACGAGATCAGTGGTCATTTATGGAAAAAAAAAAATTGGAATTGAGGTATAAATTAAAACTATTCATTATGTTAAGCATAGAAATAAAAGGATATTACTAAAATATTAAAACCCTGCCAAATGAACCAACTCTTGGTCTGGATTGTAAAAAATGGCAGCACCCTGCGCCTTTAGTAAGGTGCTTCTACAGGTAATATAATTGATCAAACTTACCCAAACCTTCAAGATTGAAGCTTTAGCCTGATGGGAGAGAAATGTTTGGTTGTTTAGAAAGTAAACATCCTTCTTTCCTCCAAATCTGCAGCAGCACTATGAAGTTAATGTGATTTGATCTGTCAGGTCTGCTAATGTTAAACAATCTAATTAAGTCTGAAGTGTTGAATTTGTCTCACATGCCAGAAATGAAACAAAACAAAACAGAAATTACTCTTTAGGCAGACCCACCCTTTACATCCGGTAGGCTACAGAATAGACGCATTTCAATAGCGGGTCAAGGCAAGGTGCTAGATACTTACCCTATCAGTCTCTTATTCTTTTTTTTTTTTTTTTTTTTTTCGGTTGAAACCGGTTTTGCGGCCCTGGTTTGGGCTTTATATCCTCCCCCATTTCCTCCAGAGCACATGACAAATCCTGTTTTCTTGCTGCAGCTTTGAATGCTTGTTTTCCGTTATCTTTGCCTTCATCGCGGGAAAATGAAGTGTTCAGTCATCTAGTCTTTGCTCTGCCTCCACGTCAGCTGAGTGTGGGTAAAGAGCTGAACTGTTGCAATCTCTCCATCTGTCTTGACCATTTTTCCCCCCCGAGCCTCTCGCCACGCTACAGCTGCCTGCAGCCAAAGGAAGAAGCGAGGCGTTCCTTTCACAGTCTCTGTAGCTGTAGCGTGTAAATTAGAGCAGACGTGGTCAGATGGGCTTCATGTCTCAGATCCGTTTCTCTCTTCAGCCATTCTGCTGGTCGCTACGTCTCTCTTTCTCTTTGATTCACATGAGAGCCTCCTGTCTTTTATTCCTCCGACATGCTCCCATCCTATTTTTTCTATTATTCCCCGCTTCTCTTTTCCCTCCCGTTATTTAGCAGCCTCTCTGTTCTCTGGCTGTAAACAGCGGGGGAGGAAGAGGATGACCAGGAGAAACATGAGGCCGCGCTGTCAGTTGCGTGCTTGCTCTGAAAGGCAGCTCCAGGCTTGGTGGCATTACGCTCCCTCAGCACGTCACGCCGTCTCTGCTGCTGTTGCTGCCTGCTCTGTTAAGAGGGGAGGAGGGGGGGGTGTTGGGCTACTGACCTATTTGTATTCACACCCACTCCCCAGAAAGAGGAATGCAGTATGATCTGAATTTGGCATGCTGTGAGGCAGGAGGAGGAAATTCTGTCGATCTCTTAATTGGATTGAAAAACGTGAAACCTCAGGTTTCATCTTCCGAAAAAAAAAGATATCATCCGACTCCGAATCCGACGAACTCCTGCAGCATTTTATGCAGTCAATGCAGATCCAAATGTTTCCATCTTTATTATTATCTTATATTTAGGTATTCTTATTTGCATTTCCTGAAAGCTTTTTGGTTTTTAATCTTGCTCCGTTTGCAAAGGAGCATTTAACTTTTTCCAAGCAAGAGGCGGCAGAGTTTATTCCATGTATAACTCCTGCCTTTAAGACAGAGTATGAAAGGGTTAAATTATGCAATATTACATATTTGTTCATGCCTAATTGATACCAGAAACAACTGTTATTAGGTTATAATGGACAGGCTAATTCTGATCTTCAGTTACAGTTGTTGAACACAAATGTTCTAATCGGTGTGTCTGAACGAGATAAAGGGGCCCAGTCTGCAACCAATGGGTTGCTTCCACCAACATGCTAATATCTGAGATTTTAGAGGCAGGCTGTTTTTTTAACATCCCCATGTATTACAATATTTAAAAAAACTTTTTTATTTTTTTATTTGCTTCACTTCTCCAGTATTCACTGAATGACGTACACTTTTAAACAGAAGAAAGATCTGATCATATCTGTAGGAGGCAGGAAATTCTGATGGTACGATCATCTTAAGCTACAATTTTTATAGTATTGCTGTTAGGTTTACAGATCTAAACTGCGTTATGTTGAAATGTCTGAGTTGAAACGGCAAAATAAGAAATGATCAATTATGGGGCAAATTTTTTTTTTTGTAAAATCTCTTCAGTCTTGCTTAACTTTCTCTGTAGAAGCTGCTTTTATAGTCTTATTTTTCTGTTATGATATTTCGGGAAGCTGTGTTCTCATGTTTATCATTATCCTCAGGCTATCATGATTACAGGGTTCCCGCGGGTCCTTAAAAAGTCTTAAAAGGCATTGAATTCTTCAAAATAAAACTAAGGCCTTAATTGGTATTAAAAAGTCTTTCGTAGGTCTTAATTTTTATAACATAAATAGGACTATTTTTATTACAATTTATTTTTGTAATCTAAATAAAACGTTAAAATTTACAATTTTTTTTTTTTAATAAAAAAAATGTCACGGCTTGCCATTATTGGTTCCGTCCTGATAGCGGAACCAATAAAGCGTTGTTGCGGCCGGGACATTTGGGAGATGCGCCATTTACTTTTTGTCTGGAAAATATGAGCAGGTGTAAATGTAACCAAAATTGTCTCCAGCCAAGAGTTTTCTCCATGGCTAAAACCGGGGAACATACATGAGGCTCAGTGGATTTAGTGCAAGAAGTCATTCAAGCTCAGAACGATGGGAATTAAGGCAGTGGAGTCGCACTTGCGAAGCACGAATCATAAGGCGTCG